TCATCCAACACATCACAAGAAGCTCCAGCCACAAGTTCTCAACATTCAGTCATTTTAATCCTTTAGCAATTACTCAACTGTGTCTTCTATGTGAATTTTTATCAGTCTGGAAAGAGTGTGTAATTTGTACTTAGGTAGGTTTAACCCACACCATGAAACTCCACCAATAGAGCAGTTGCCAACCAAGCTACTAAGTTCTATTAACCCTATACATGGATTAGTTTACATACAAACAAACCATAAAATATTCAGCATATCTGTACATTTACTTACAAACATAATCACTATCCAATAATGAGCAAGATTCTATGCTGTTAGGATGATTAATACATCTAAACAAATGCCATGAAGGATACATTGGTACGAAAATTATCTCAAATATCAACACCACATAAAACAATAACTTTATACATCTATCAGCTGTATCTTCCCTATCAAAAAAAAAAAAAAAAAAAACAGTTTAGTTTTCAGCATTTTCAATTGAAACAAATCTAGGGCTAGAAAAAGCATTGATTGATCAACACAAAACGCATAAAATGATCCATGCATATGAATGTAGGATGGTTATTATCATTAAGGAAAGGGAACCTGCCAGTGACTTCACTATATGTCCCTGAGAAAGTACAACATTCCACAATGTCCTTACGGTTAAGAATCAGCAAATTCCTCTGGTCGGTCTAACATATCACTAATTAATTTTTTTTTCTTTAGAAACATATCTTACACTGTCTTGATATTCTTTGTTTTTCTCTTCATCCGTGGATAACTATAGAATGATCTAGGAAGCAATACTTGATGTGAAGAATAAATGGTTTTCTTGCTTTATTTTTTATTCATTTTTCTAAAAGTTATAATTTTATTAGGATTTTATCTATTACACATCATCAAAAAAAGAAATAACATGAATATTCTTGCAAACATTAAATTAAGTCAAATTGCAAATATTTGGCAAGCAATGGGCATGCTTAATCATCTAACATGATTCTCTTTTCTTCTCGGCAGAAATAGTTTATGAGCCTCGGTATTATTTGTATTTTTCTCTTTAAGCCCCTATTTATTTTTTGGTCTATCTGAGTTCTATACTTTTAAATTTCTACCAGATTCATTCTTTGATGTAACAACTGTTTATTGGTTGTTAACTCTTGGTACTCACGGTACACGTGGCTATTGATGTGTTGAAATGATGATAGGAATCCTAATTTAATCCAAACTAAGTTAAAAACTTTATTAAAAAAAGATTAATCTCAACTGCTTGGAGGTGTCAGGGCAAAGAGGGTATGGGGCTAAATGTGTTAATCTCATTTATGATGTGCATTATATAAGAAATCACAAGGAATAATCCAGCCTGAGGTGGAACTCTTTTAGAAATAAATTCGAAAATTTGTTATAGAAAAATAGCAAAAAATAAACATTTTCTATCACTCTATTTAACATGGGAAGCTCAGGGAGCAAAAATGAGGCAAGAATTCGTATTAATGTTGAGGATTGACCCAAATCTGTAATATCACCATGTAAACAGAGTGAAAACGAGGATCACTAGTAGTTATGGACACAGGGATGGCTACCTATTAATGCACCTAACACATAGTGGGTGAGATGAAAAAGAATTCGTAATTAATAGACTGGACGAGAGTGAATAAAAAATCATAAACTTGCAAGGAGTATAATGAGAGTATAAATTTTAGTTACATGCCCACCCTGTCCTGCCCCACTAATTATATGTATATGATTAGATATTGTTAATACATATACTTACTACATTTTTAATTTTATTATTGTTCTTCTTTCTTGTGAACAATTTTTGGATATTAAAACAAGATTAATGTGATAATACATAGTTCTAGTAGATGATTTTTTTATAACTAGTTTGAATATATTATTTAATGTTGTATTTTTATGAGGTTATTTTGTATTTATTGTTGAATTTTAATTATGCTGAAATATTATTTGAAATTATATTTTATTTTGATTCATGTTTAAAAGTTCTAATTAAATTTTAATAATTTATTTGAATATTTTATAAATTTTTAGGATAAAACAAAAGTAGTGGGTTTTCAAGTGTGAGGTGGGTGGAGGGTGAATGGGTGAAGAAACGGATGTGCACGGGTAAATTGGGCGGATGCTAGATAGAAATGTGTACCTGTGGGGCAGGTGGTGAGCAAAGAATATTTTACCCAAGGTGGGTATGGACATATATAGATCTTCTAGCAAGGCAGGTATGGGAATAGACAAATCTTCCCCATACCTCGTGCTCATCCCTAGCCAATAGAGGTTGTCATGCCACACTCTATCCCTCTTTTTCGGTTCATTGTGGTGGTTATGTGGACACTTAATAGAATGCTTCAAATATAGAAGTGCTAAATTTAGGAGAATGGAAGGAAGTCATGGAAGTCTCTGATCCACTCTTTGCAGACGAATCATTCTTTTTGATAAACCAGAAAGAGAGGCACTTTCATATATCAACTTTATTCTACTGAGTTTCCAGTTGGCATTTTACAAGTTCAAAATCAACTTAGTCAAGTCTTAGATTGTTCCACAGGGTGATAACATATGTAAGGATGCAGAATGTCTTTTCCTCGATAATACTTTCCTGAGTAATTATTCCCCTACCCTGTCAGTTCTCTATAGGGATCTCTAGAAATAACCATGCAAATTGTCCTCCCAAAATATAATAAAGCTAAAATGTTTCTTTAACAGGATAGACGAAGAAGATTTTTCCAAGATCGGGCAGCAAAATTGTTTATTGCTGTTGAAACATCTTCTTGCTACCATTGGAAGCTAAATACAAGGACTTAGGGATTTGGGACCTATCTTGACCAAGTTTGACAAAAGTTGGCTGGTTGGAGAAGAAGACAGTTGGTACTTGTCCAAGAAAGTGAGGTTAACCTCTACAAGAGCATGCCATTTGGAGCTAAGTTGAAGGACATATAAAAATTTGGGGAGGCTATCTTGGCAAAGTTAAGGGAAAAACTGGCTCGTTGGAAGAGGGAATGCTATCTAAGATAGCTTAATATGATTTTCTCTTCTAAAAGCTTAATATGATTTTCTCTTCTAAAGTCATATTCTAGAATAATAGTTTGCCAATCAGATGAACTGATAGATCCAAAAATCTGTACAGCAGTTTGTCAATCTGTTAATAAATACAAACTTGAATACAATGACTTTACACTTCAATCCTGATCCTCTCTGTATTTTCCACAACGATTAACCAGATAAGACAGGCTTCATGGCAATCCTACCTTAGAAATCAAAGTTATCCATATTCATCACAACTCAAGGGTAGAACCTTACCTGATACACAAGTATCATTTGATTAAAATTGTCAAATTCGTTTCTCCATCTTCAAACTCATCAATAAATCCTAGATATGGATACCAAAAGTGACCCTATGTTTGCATAATTGTCATCACCTTAGAGAAAATGAAATATCAAATTGCTTCACCATGAAGAATAACAGTATGCTTTGCATATTTAAGCAGAAAAAAATTAGTTATAAGGTGCACCTGGAGGTAAACAAACTTTTATTTCTTTTTTTGGAAAAAACCATAATGACAATCCTTAAGAACAATCATACATTATTATAGTCGTACCGCCCAAAGAACTTTATCCATGAAACAAGAAGGTGCATCATCATGTTTTGACATGAGATCGAGCTCTATGTGCGCATTTCTAACTAGATGAAATGAAAATCCCACACAAATGGATAGCATAAACAAAGACAAATTTCAACACACACCCCTGAGCTAAAAAGAAAATGATTGTCACAAGACAACAATGTGAAAAAAAAAAAAAGCAATTTAAGAATAACACCTAAATCCAATAACTTCAAAGGTTTTAAGAAACAGGAGACAGGAGTTAGGCAAACACATTGGAGTCCAATTTTGGTTTAGAGAAGTTACTCATGTTTACTGAGAAATATCTTAATTTGAACAGGAGAGCGAAAACTTTATTAACATGTACTTAGCCCTAACAAAGTGCCACTCTCGCACTTTTCAATTAACTACAATCTTGCAAAAAAAAAAAAGAAAAGAAAAGAAACTAAACTTACCATTGCAAATTCAACAAAAGCTATGCGAGTGGAATGCACATGATCCCCTAGAAGCCTCAAGCGGGTAACCTATGAATATAAGATGATATCAACTATCTCAGAACTCTTCACAGATGTTATTATGATTAAGAAAGAAAGTAGATCAAATTCTGGGTTTTGTGCCGACCTCACCACATGCTGATTCAAAAAAATTCTTGACATCAGCTTGAGAAAGCTGCATATCCAACAACATATTTCTAGGAATTAATCAACTAAGCAAAAATTGAATTAAAAGAGTATATATACATGTAGATGGCTAATATTCATTGATGTACTAGCACAAAACATTCCCAATCAATTTCACAGCATGGTCAGAAATGTGTAAAACAATACTCAAGCATTCATATGAATTGGAAATAACAATTTACCTTCTTGTCAATGTTTGTACAATAAACTGTCCTTGTACACATTTCTCTTTCATCTTCTGACTGCACTTAACGAAAAAAAGAAGCAAGAAAGGAAAGTCATGTCAAACTTATAAAAATGCAACCTCAAATATTTCCCAGATCAAGAAGAATATATTGTGAAGCACCATGCTGAAATTAACAGGACCTTGAAGGTGATTAAGTCATACCCTTGGAAGAAAGACAGGGTTCACAGGAAGGATGGCAGTTTTTGAAGGTAAGACCCTAACTGGGTAGAATCCTAACACTGTCCCACCTAGGTTTAAAGCAGCTTTTGCCCCATCTGTTCAAATGAATTCCGTTAAATGTGAAAAGTACGAATTAATGTACATCAATCAGATGCCAATAATTTTCAAACGGACTTTCAGCACACAGCAACAAAAACTTACGCTCATCAGCAAACTCTACGAATGCAAAGCGAAGGACTGAATGAGGATCACCACAAACTCGGCAATCAACAACCTTAATAAACAAAAATTTCAAATCATGTTGTTAGTATCACGCACCATATCTAATCTATTAATCACCTCATCAAGTAAAGAATGATGGAATTCCATGCAAGACAAGAAAAACAATATTTCATTTACCATAGTTGACAAAGTATGTAGCATGAAGCCTCTTAATTCCTATTATACAATAGTAATAATGAAAATATTGAACGTAAATTTCGAGTTTGGGGCAGCTGATTGGAAAATGATCATCCTGATCACAATAATACTGATTTGTAAGTTTCTAATTTAGTCATACAGACGAGAATCTAAGGAATTCATTATGCTCTGATTGTTATATGGATACCATACTAAGATAATAAGATTGTTACACTGATTTGTAAGTTTTGATTGAACCACTTACGTCGTTTGTATAACAAATTCCACTTATTGATCAACCCAATTAAAAATGCACCGTGATCTTAATGAAAAAATCAGAAACCAGAAGCTAGAAACAAGTCAATGCTAGCATTTGCTACGACATTTAAATTGAACTGCATTCCAGAGGTGAAAAGCCCAGGAAATGACAGGAGGAAGTATTGTGGATTTTTAAATAATGATTTTGCCAAGGTCATTTTTTTTTTTAGAAGGATCCTTTTCTTAAAGCCACTCTTAATGAATCAAAAAATGGAGAACAAACAGAGCTTGAATAATGAGTATACCAGAAGTTTCAGAAATATAGAAACCTAAAGAAATGCCCAACAAGAATATGATAATAATCCAAACACAATGTCAAAGAATTTATAGTATAAAGTGAGAAACAAAATGGGTCTTTCACTTTCAATTTAGTTTCAAGATGATTTTTTATAAAAGCAAAATAAAAAAAAAATAGTGTCAATAATGTCAAAATGGGTCTTTCACTTACTTGCCCACAACTACTAAATAAGCCAGCAAGCCGCTCTTCAGTAACCTAGAAAGTGAAAATGACAAGAAATGAGAGTTTTAGGCCAGTGATACATATTAATACATTTGAGAAATAGGCAAGTACTTGGGGAGATAAAAAGAAGCACCATCATTTCAACTTACGTTCTGGTCAATATCCGAAACATATACCGTTCGTCTAATACTATCTTCTCTTTGGGCTCTGGAAGATCTCCCATTGAGCCTCCTCCTCCCCTGGTTAAAGTTATTTCTTCTCTGGAAAACAAATCAGTAATCTCTCAACTACAGAAAAGAAAAACAACAACTGCAATGGTTATAAACATTGACAACTTGCACGGTAATTTCTTCAAAATCTTGTGACAATAATTTCTGCACAACACAGAGAGAGAGAGAGAGGGCAAGGAAAGAAACATTCCCATCTGAATCAATAATTAGACAATAATTTGACCGATAAAAAACATAGCTATAACCATTAAAAATAAAACTGGCAAGTAAGACCCCATAGGTTTCTAGTACCAAGACAAAACCAGCTCAGAAGAAACATGAAGCAGATGCTCAGACAGAATCCCATACGATTGCAGCATAGAATAATACAGTAAAGCCAATTATCCACCCCATACCAAAAAGCAATTTTACACTGTATTTAAACTATATCAATCAACAGTTGACCCCAAAACAATCATAAGCGCAGAAACCCAGACACCGTGTATATAAAATCACACAAAAAATTCAACAAACAATTAACATCACTAGAACCCATTTCTGCACAACACACACAATTGAGCTTCTACGTGATAAAACATCTGGCTGACTGATCTTTAAAAATTAAACCAAATCCATTATTCAGTAGCTAGCCATAAAAAAGTGAAATTCTCAACAAAAGTTCAACGATCATGAGTACCCTCCGATTATTGTTATTGGGGAGAATCTCATTGCCCGATTGCTTATTGGCAGCGGGAAAATTGTTCACCGACAACTTATCGTTGCTCTGATTAAGATTTTTGTGATTGTAGGAAGACGGGAAAAACTCTTTGGCTAAAGGATTCAGCTTCGTGAACATATCCACAAGCTTCTGCACACTGAATTCGGATTCGGGTTTGGATTTAGAATCCAAATTCTGGTTGTCGTTGTTGCTGCCGGTGCTGCTGTTGTTATTGTTGGCAGACTGAGCCTGAGCCTCTGCCTCGCCTGGCTTCTCAGCAACCGCAGCCATAGTAATCAAAAACTGAGAATCAATAAAGGAAACAGCTAAAAATTTTGGTCTCTCGAGGGCGTCTGTTATCAGTGGAAGAAGGGGAATAGAGGGAGATTCGGGTTCTTTATCTGAGAATTACTGCCTATAAATGAGACCCATTTGGATATATATTACACAAAAAAGGAAAAGAAATGCAGACAGAAATATAAATATATTTATATACCAAGAATATATACTTGAAAAGAGATAAAGAGATAAAATAAGAGAATTTAGGGTTTTGGGGAAGAATGATCAAAGGTGGAGAGAAGAAGAAGAATTGGGTTTGGGTTTGGGTTTAGACTCTCCCCTTATTTGGCCTCTTCTCCTGGTTTCTGGTCACAGAGTTTTACAGAGAGAGAGAGAGACAGAGATGGAAGCGTCTTAAAGTTAGGAACTTTAAAAATGGAAATAAGTAAAGATGAGCCGAGCAGCCAAATAGACCCTTCTTTCTCTCACTCTGTGTTATTGAGAATTGAGATTTGGATATGTCATCATAACTGCTGCTCCATAACTATTTGGGTTTGTTGGGATTGTAATTTCTCTTTTTATTTTTTTTTTCTTTTTTAAATTTAATTTTTTGGTTTTTAAATATTTTATTTATTTAAAATATTTTCTTTCTCAAATACTACACATATGTATTAATTATAATACAGTATAATACAAGGAGGCACACAATTGAATTCAAAATTATAATCAAGATTAAGAAAAATACATAACCAAACTAAACAATATAACTTGTTATAAATTGAAATAATAACTGTTGCCCTCGGGTTTGTTGGGATTGCAATTTCTCTTTTTATTTTTTTTATTTTATTTTATAATTTAATTTTTTTAGTTTTTATTTTTTTATTAAAAATATTTTTTTTTTCTAAATATTATACATATATATTAATTATAATATAGTAAAAATACACGAAAACACACAACTCACTCGAAATTATAATCAAAATAAAAAAATATATATACTCAAACTTAAAGATATAACTTGTTACAAATTGAAATAATAACTGCTGTTCCATAACTATTTGGGTTTGTTGGAATTGTAATTTTTTTTAGTCTTTTATTCTTTAAATTTTATTTTATTATTTATTTTTTAAAAAATTAATACTATTTATTAAAAATATTTTTTTTGTCAAATATTACACACATGTATTAATTAAAAAATAGTTAGAATACACAAAAATACATAACTAAACTCGAAAATATAATAAAAAAGTACATAATTAAACTTAAAAATATAACTTATTATAAATTGAAAGAGTAATTGTTGCTACATAAGTAATTGGGTTTGTTGGTGTAAAGGCCAGAAACTTAAAAAAAATAAATTTATATCTTTAATGCGGAATCGAATAATAAAGTTATAGTTTACATTCTTTACACAATAAATTAGAATGTTCAATAGGATTATAAGAATATCTCTTCTATATTTGTTCATGAAAAGATAAACGGTAATTAAAAATAAATAAATAGATATCTTAGGGGTTAATCTTCACTAACACTTAAAGGGAATCTGGGAGATGAACAACTCACAACCCTCTTACTGCTCGAAATCTGGATTTTGGTCTTCTTGATTTGAAATGGTTAATAAATTGTGAGTTATACTAATTCAGTAATAATATGACACTAATCACTTAT